TTTTAGAATTATGTTTTTCCTAATTAACTAAATTTAGTAATTTCATCCTAATGGAAAAGGTAAACAATGAGATAGAATTCAATTAAATAAATAGTCAGGAATCCAGATTTTATTAATTAATATTGTTTTAAAAATCGAACCGAGTATAGACAATAAAAACTTAAAGTGTCAAAGATGGAAAGGTTCAACCGAAGTCGAATCGAAATCGAACTAATTGTATAGAATTATTAAATACATCCATAATAAAACATTACAAATATAATATAAGTTGAAGTTCAATATTGAGTCCAACTATCATAATTTCTAACTTAAATATGCAATTAGTAAATATGTTAATTTATAATGTGATATAATAATTAAGTCCTTATTTGGGCTCCATTTTAACGAGATTTTGAAAAAAAAATATTTTTGAATAGTAGTTTTTTTCGAGTAAGTATAGTTAAAAAGTAAGAATTTTTTTTTAGATTTACGTATAATATTACTTTATTAAAGAATGTGTAATTGAAAATAAAGAAAGAGAAAAATATATTAAATTAAAATGGAGCCTAAACGAGGCTAAGTAAATTATACTTATTTTACTACTTAAAGAAAATAATAACAAAAGAAAAAAGTGAAAGGAAAAAGTAAAGTGATAAGGAATTGCCTCATTTTTAACACAAATTTGAATTTTCATTTGTAATGGGCAAAACTCAAGAAGAAAAAGCAATGGATTACTTCATTGGTAAGATTAGGGTAAAATAGGTGTTGCCGACAATGAAGGGGAAAAACCTTTTTAGACAAAGGAAAAGAAAAAAAATAAAAGAGAATCTAATCAATTATCACATTTTTAGAAAAAAAAAAACTCTGACAGTATAAAGAATAATCCAGCTTTTTCTTCATTTTTTTTCTAAACTATCAACTGTTGTACTCAGAGAAATTATGTTCGAGTCGATTTGTTCAAGGTTTAACCATTGATTTAGTAAGTTTGGCATCCATTTTTAAAGATTATGTTTTCAATGAGTAATCAGATTGGATTTCGTCCCAATTTCCGATTTTCAATTGAATCGGCCAATTTGTTCCTACTATCGATTACTAGTAAACCACTTTCCTCTCTTGATTAATAATTTGATAAAAGTAATGCCTAAGAACTTGGGACAATCATGAAAAAGTAGAATTTAGAAATTTATGAAAATCAAGATTGTGTATTCTAACATACAATCTCTCGATTTAACATGTAACAAAATATCATTTTATCTTATTGTCAGCAGCAAACATGAAAATAATTCAATCATATCATCCCATACATCTTATAAAGAAAATCTAAAATAATGAATTAAAATGTAATAAAAGACAATTAACAAATAATTTAGCCAATAAATTTGATGAAGAAAATCAGGACAAGAAGAATGTAACATATATATAAAACTGGTAAATTAACAATAAGAGAAAAGGATGAATATCTTCAATATTTATCAATCTCAAGAGTCCAAACATCTTCATGCTTGAATTTCCTTTATTTCTTAACTTCTCTATTTGATTTCTCCTAGAAGATTGATATGTTAATGTCTTTGATTCAATCTTACCATGGTGTTCCCTTAATGTGGTATTTTTGGTTTGTGGTGTTCCCTTAATGTGAAGAGACTTGGCATATTATTAAGCCTATGTTTAATCCTTTCTCATTTCACAACAATAGGCCCTGTTTGATAATTATTTTTTTTGAGAAGATCCCAAAAATGTGGTCCCCAAACCCTATTATGAGTATATGTAAAAGATTATGTAAAAAAGAAAATATGTACATGTAATTCCCAATCGAACCCACCACACCTTTCTACTATCTTCTTAGAGATATCTTCCAATTCTATTGGAGGAAATCTCTCATTTGTATTTTCTGAAGAAGATTTCATCAGCTCT